GCTGGTGTGGAGAGAATCCTGCCAGTAAATCTGGTGGATGTTCCAACATGCCAAGGATATCCCCCCAAGTCCCATTAACACCATGACACCGAATGAGAGAGGCGCTGAACACTTGCTAACACTGCTGACATCTTGGCAGCTTTTGAAAGAAAGATCACATTGCTATTTACTAATGTGTGGGTGGGATATTTGAAGATGAAGAGGCGCTGGAAAGGAACCAGAGCGTTCTTTCCAAGGAGTTTCCAAGAGTTCCTAAGGACCAAGTTGAATGTCGCCCTGCGTACATTTTGCAGGAGTTGCCCTCCACAAGCTTTTCCTCCTCTTCCATCTCCTACCCTCCAAATCCACTCTCGAGTCCCAGATCCACCAACACAGAGAAAGTGTGAACTATCAGGGAAGAGAATGAGATGTGGTCTTTATAAACTATAGCCCAGATCCATGCCCAAACAGAATGGAAGCTTAAAGAACAGCAGCATCAACAGCATCTAGAGGCAGGGCATGGTGGCTCACGCCTGCAATCCCAGAACTTTGGGATGCCAAGGCAGGAAGATCACTTGAGCCTGGGAGTTCGAGACCAGCCTGACCAACATGGTGAAACCCCATCTCTACAAAAAATACAAAAATTAGCTGGGCATGGTGGCGGGTGCCTGTAATCCCAGGTACTTGGGAGGCTGAGGCAGGAGAATCACTTGAACCCAGGAGACAGAGGTTACAGTGAGCCGAGATTGTGCCACTGCACTCCAGCCTAGACAACAGAGCGAGACTCAATCTCAAAAACAAAAACAAAGCAACAGCACATAGACAGTACAGGCACACAGGGGATGCCTGCAGGGTCTGTAATGGAAGACATGGCGCATAATATAACAAAGTCTTCTGAGCAAAGTCCCGGGCCCTTCACAACCGCTCTTAGAGCATGCGGAGTGTTAGTGTGTCCCAATTAACAGAAGTCTAACATCTATTCTCACTGGAAATAAAAGGTGATTCTAACAGCAATTCTGACCCCTCCTAAGGTTAAGGAACAATGTTGACTGCTTCTGACATAACGTGGTATATTTATCCTGGGTAGGATAATTTCATGCTTACCTTACCGCAGGAAAAGAAAAGTTTAAAGCTTTTTTTTTTTAAGAAAAGAAAAGCAAGTGGACTAGGCACGGTGGCTCACCCCTGTAATCCCAGCACTTTGGGAGGCCAAGGCAGGCAGATCACCTGAGGTCAGGCGTTCAAGACCAGCCTAGCCAACCTGATAAAACCTTCTCTCTAGTAAAAATACAAGAATTAGCCAGCCATGATGGCATAGGCCTGTAATCCCAGTCACTCAGGAGGCTGAGGTATGAGAAATCACTTTAACCCAGGATTTGGAGGTTGCAGT